AACAATTGCCTTTTCATTTCCTTATTATGACATATTAGAAAAACCTCAGAGTCTAAACCTTTTATTTTATTATGTTTGAGATGAGCACTTTATTGAGTCAAAGGCTATTTGCTTTCGCTTGAATAGTCAACATCAGTTTTTTCCATCTAGCCTTGGTGAGGAAAACTTAGAAGCTTAATCAGTACGGAAGAGCCTCATATTCTGAAGCTTATGGCATACTGTTCTCTTGTTATTGAGATTTTTTAATAATTATTTTTTTACTCAAGACTTTATAAACTATTTTCCTGATTCTTTTTTCCTCTTTCATTTCACGGTTCATCCTTTATATCGGTGAGCCTCAAACGAGTACTTTTTTCTTTCCCTATTATGCTTAATAACTTTATATAACTTAATGAAATTAGTTTAAATTAATTATTTTAACAAAAATCAAATGAGTACTTTTTCTTTTTCTTATCATATGACATATGAGGAAAACCTCGGAGTCTAAACTTTTCATTCCATCATATTTGAGACCGGCATTTTATTGTGTCAAAAGCTATTGTTCTTGCTTGAATATCCAATTTCAGTTTCACATCTAGTCTTGGTGGGAAAAACTTCGAAGCTTAATCAGCACAGAGAAGCCTCATGTTTTGGAAGATATTCTTATGATATTTTTTATTTGCTTTCTTTTTTCCTTATGTTTCCATATTACTCCTCCGATCCTTATTATAAGACCCAATTTGACTTTTTATTTGGTTTTAATTATAAGACCCAATCCATTTTGTCTCTTATATTTATGCATTTTTTTCCAACATAATCCTTCTAATAATGATAGTTTTAGCCAATATACTTAATTAGCAAGGATATTTTAGGAATGACAACACTTATTTATTATAAATAACCAACTTAACTTACTTCCTTAATCTCCTCAAATAAGTCAATTGGGTCTTATAATTAGGACCGGAGGAGTAGTTCATCTTCTTTTATGGCTATTTCCAACTATAATTTCTATTCTTGTTCTATTATTATACTTTGAACCTTTTTTTTTGGGTGAAATGAACTTTTACTTTTTACTTAATATTATTTTGTCTCCATTAAAAAAAATTACCAAAAAGAATAAATTTATTCTCAATCCTAACATCACTTTTTTAAACATAGCCCATGCCTCTGATTCAAATTCCCACTTATGACTCGCCGATAATATCAATATAAAATTTTTATATTTAGTTACTGCACCTACCTCATTTATCTTGGGAAAAACTTATTTATTTAAATTTATATTCTTGATATATTTGTTTTCAATAAAGATCACCAACAGACATTGATTTTAGTAGAAGGAAGCTATGATCATTTAAGTATAAAATCAAGTTCAATTTTTTAGTAATAAAAAATTATTTACTTTGATTTAATAAAAAATACATTTTCAATTAAAAGGAGTATTTAATAATTACAGTGTTGTATTGAGCAAGCCTCATTTTCCCGCCAAAGAGAAATTGGCTGCCGCAACGAAAAGCCCGCGGTTCCGGAATTTCCTCTTATTCCTGACTCTTAACGTTCCACCTTCACTGCCGATTGTTGGTTTGCTGCTCGCCGAACAGTCGCAATGGTGACTTCATCTCTCTCTAAATCGGGATTTCATTTGTTATTTCGTTATTGGATAACCTAGTCTTCAATTATCCCTATTTGTAGCATTTTTCGCCTCCGTGACTGATCTTATCGTTCACTAGTAGCTCCTTTGTTTAGTAGGATTTGATATCACATATCTGAAGTCACTGGGAAGTTGGTTGGTTCTAGAGTTGAATCTTGAGCGCCCTTTTCTTATTTTGTTCCTCTTCGTTTTCGTCATTGAATATAATGGGAGTTGGCAAATGTCCCGAATTAACCACCAAAAGAAAAATTGCTATATGGAATACCTAATTGTTTTCCTGCATGTTCAATAGATTGTTTTACGATTTTAATCGTGGCTCTCTCCATGTATGAGAAAATGACGCGTTCTTCTGGCAAGGTCTTGGTGGTTTTCCTAATGACTGATAGATTGTTTTTGTCAATTTGTTTGTCTTGCGATGGATTGGTGCGTTTTTGCTTACGGTGCAGTCGAAGAAAAGAGGTCTTTCATTGGAAGAGAAGCGTGAGAGAATGCTCCAAGTCTTTTACGAGTCACAAGACTTCTTCCTGGTTAGGTTCTCGTGTAACTTTCTAGTTGCTAGCCTCATTTCATTCACTACTGCATTAATTTGTTTTTTTTGTTATCATCAACTGACTAATTATATATGGGTTCTTTTTAGCTTAAGGAGCTTGAGAAGTTAGGTCCCAAGAAAGGTGTCATCACTCAGTCCGTGAAGGATGTCATCCAAAGTTTAGTGGACGATGACCTTGTTTCAAAAGATAAGATAGGAACTTCTGTAAGTTAACATCTACAAATAGAGACTGAATAAAATAGTTTTCATTTTCGCGCCCACCCCCTCCTTTGTTTTATAGTTAGGGCCATCAGATGCTTGTCCCACCCACAAGACTTGAGAAACGGAAATTTTAAGCTGTCTTTGACATTCGGACAAATTATTCTCAGAGATAACCTTGACATGACTGATCTCGTATTTTGGCTGTCAGGTATACTTTTGGAGTCTTCCAAGCTGTGCAGGAAATCAGGTGAAACCCTTGAGGACAAAGTGACATTCTGCTGTTTTACCATTTTTGGTTGATAACTTGGTCACTGCTCTCCAGATTATTTGGCTGTAGCTTGATTACGGCATTAACACAATTTTGTATAGCTTAGGAATGTTTACCACAAACTTGAATCTGAACTCAAAAGCAACAAGAAGCGGTATGTTGAACTTGCTGATCAATGTGAGGTGCTAAAGAAAGGACGAGAGGAATCTGTGAGTTATGATTCATCATTCCTTACTAGTGTATCATTTGCATTTTGCTCTACTCCAAGAGTATCGATTGTATCTCCTCCAGGACGAACGAGAGGAGGCCTTAGCGGATCTAAAAGCCATTGAGCTGAAGCATAATGAGTTGAAGGTTGATTTGCAGTTTATTTGTTCACACTGCATTAAGTATGATCATAATTTAATGAATTCCATGACCGCAATCAATTAATATTTTATGGTTTCAGGAAGAGTTGGGAAAGTATGCAGACAATGATCCAGCTGCCGTTGAAGCAATGAGTTAAGAATTGTTCATTTGGCGCCTTAATTGGAAAAATTTAGAAGTTAATCCTTATAACTTGTGATGGTTTTCATGTCGGATCACTGATGATTTGATGTCAATATCTGCAGAGGAAGCAATTGAAGTTGCCCATGTAGCAGCCAACAGATGGACAGGTTCTGCTTAATGTTTTCCTTTTTCCCCTTTTTCCAATGAATTGGGTTTACTAGGGGAGGATGTCTGGATTTTCGAAATGTCACATTACATTGTGCTGAGTAGAACCTCCAAATCATAGTGGCTAAAAAATGTGTGCAGACAACACTTTCACCCTGAAGCAATGGTGCTCAAACAACTTCCCCCAGGCCAAGGAGCAGCTTGAAAACGTGTATAAGGAGGTCAGGTTTTTATGCCTCTTTATGTAAAGCTCGATGCTTAAACCCTCTGTTAAGTTGTTATCTTTGACCCTATGCAATGGATTTCTTTTGCCTTTCATAGTCACTTGAATGAGATTGAGATCACTATCCTGATGCACAACGTAGCTAGGACACAGCCTTCCTTGAGGAGAGTTGGGTTGTTTATCCACGTTTCTTCTTCTTATGTCTCCTTAACTCTTGCACCTTAATCTTAATGCAGATTGGGATAACAGATGATTTTGACTATTTGGAGCTAGCACCCCTTCCCCTCAGGGCTGTTGGTGATTTGGAACTTTGAACCAAGATGAAGGCCACTTATTGCTCGTGTCTCTAAGTTACCGATCTTCATAAAGTAAAGCTGATTATCATGATTTCCTATGGGATCTTCAAACAAAAAACAGTGGCATGCTATTTTCTCTTCCCCACATCCCTAACTTCATCAAAGTCTCAAGGATAGCGTAATCAGTTCAAAAGAAGAAGCAAGAGTTTCTTTAAGCGAAAATATATCAAGAGGTTTTAAGAATATATAGGATTTAGGATTTAATTGAAGTGTTTATTGTGCTTACCTAATAGTATTTACTGTCTTGTTTTTGTTCCCTTTAACCGCGGCCGCCACTTTCATGAGGTTTATGACCATCCTGTTTGGAGGATGCGGGTATTTGTTTGTGTGAATTGTGTTCACGCTCTGGTCATGATTACAATTTTGAGTAGAGTTTTAATATCCTTAGTGGCCCGAGTTCTTTATTCGTTCGATCCTCTGGTCATGATAACGAGTTAACCACCACAGGCATCCATTTCTGTGGACTATGAAGGCATAACAAGTTCAGTTGAGCATAATTTTCTCTGAAAGATGACAGAACAATACTGTTCTGCTAACATATCCTCATACCCTTGGAGCGACTAATGTGCGGAGGTGATTGAATGAAAAACAAAATGAGTATATGAAAAGAATTTTATTTTATCTCGAGTAAAAGTACTTTTTTAAAGTACTTCTGGGAGTTTCTAAACACTCTCATCAGATTGCAAAAGTGTTTTTACGAGGTTGGAGAGCTGAACTTTGTTCTTATTGGTAGATTTCTGCCATAATACCATATTAACTAGCTAATTAGTCAAAATTTATCTTCTGCCTCAGTTTTAATGTGCCTTCATCTTTAGTTACATCTCAGCTGCCGTCATGTGACTAGGTTGTTTGTTGAGCAGCTTATCTCCCAGATCTTGTTATAACTTGTGAGGATCTATGAACTTATATCGAGAAATTCAGTCAAACTATATATAATGTTATTAAAATTTTATAGTTATCTGTAACAAAGTTTATTAATTAGATATGATTTGTTTAATCAGTCATGAACATAAAAGACAACAGATATTTAGAAAAAAATTAACATTTTGGACACAAATCTTATAAACTAAACTTGTCCCATGACAATGACAACAAAGGGAAGAGAAATAATTATTGAACATTTTCGTTGCTTGTGAATTGGTTTTCTGACTTGGTCACATGACTGTTGGTGAACGTGCAGGCAACCAAAACTTTGTCGCATCTAATTGTTTCTTCCATATTTTGTCCATATGACTTTGTCATTCTTCTTGCTTTGGCGCCCAAAAACAATTCTGAAAGAGGCGCATTGTTCGGCAAATCATGCCAACTTAACAAGTTCGTCACCATATATGTGATTATATTATACATCGTTGCCTTCTTTTTAATATAAACCGAGGTATGATTTTAAAGAACAAGGAACCAGCGAGACAAGAACAAAAAGTAGCAAAATAAAGAACCTAGACTATTAATTTTTAGGGTAATATGATTTTTTCTAGTAATTTTTATTTAATCAAATATTAAAAATATATCCTACTACACTTCTTTAATTTAAAAAAAGACACATAGTAAATGATGTCATTGTAATCAATATTCCATAGCATTGCATGCCGGGTGGGCTGTTTGGGCTGCAACCAAACGGGCCCATTAGCACTGTGAAATTTTTTTTGATATGACTATTTAATTATGTTAGATTCAAATATTGGTAAACTTGGCTGGGAAATAATTTTTTTAACACATTTTCTGTATTTACACAAATTCAACCTCGAACTTAAAATTTGGTGTTTAGGAAATGAAAGTCCTTTCAACTATAATCAATATATTAAATTTTTATTTCTCCATATGTGCAAAAAGTTAATTAAACACAATCGAATTCGGCTTCACTCCCTTTCTGTTCCGGTCCGCTGGGCTGTGTGTCGTGGATGAGTTGTATCTGTGGCCCCTAGGGATGCGGTCCAAGCCAACGGTCGCCGTCCAAGGTAACGGCTCAATCATGTCTCGAAATTTGAGGAGAGGGAAAAGATTTAAGATTTCGGGGTTCAACCGAATCAGTTGTCTAAATATTATATTAAATATTCAAATTTGAAATGTTGAACCGAATCAATCTCTATTGTCAATATCTGTGGCCCGGCCGCCTTCTGTAGCACAGCTCGAAATTGCCTGGACTGTGTAACATGGGCACAATCTCATCTCTACACCTGTCATCCGTCAACCTTTCTTGTTGGGTCCTACATCTTGATTCCTGCATGTTGCTCCTCTCTTTCTTGTTTCTCCCTTTTCTTAGTTGCCAGCCAGAGTGTCTGCTTCGTCCCAAGATTCTTGTCTCGATGCATAAAAAGCTTCGCCCTCCTCCTCTTCCTCTTGCAAGCAACTTGCTTATATATTCTCCCATCACATCCCATTCTTGCCCTCGAATCCTCTCAAACGCAGAAGAAAACAGAGGTTGAGAACTTGATAGCAAATAGCAATGGAGGTTCTTGCGCTTAGACTTCAATATTTCTTGATGGCCATTTTCGCTCTTGCCTTGCTTTTTGCAGTGCCGACCATCAATGCTCAGAGCCCTGCTCCCGCACCACCTCCTACCAGTGATGGTACTTTTTTTTGATGCCTCTCATCACCTTTCTTCATTTTTTGGTTTTTTTTTTTTTTAAGCTGCTTCCATCATTAATTTCTTCTGTGTCTTCGATTCTTTCCTGGGGCTGTTTTAATGGTCTGATAAGGTTCGTTTTAAATGGTGTTTGCCTGACAGGGATGGCAATTGATCAAGGGATCGCCTACGTGCTCATGCTAGTGGCTCTGCTTCTTACTTACATCATTCATTAAGCCTTTGGATATAAAGGCAGCCTGAATTTGCGAACTTTGTATATTGATTGATTGTGTTCTATTTTTGGTTCTGTTTCCTGTTCATATGCTGAAGCTGTGATCTTTCAATGAAATTCTTTGATTTCCTGCGTTCCTCCTCCTCTCTGTCGAATTTGCTTGAAGTGTGAGTACTCTTTCTGGGGCAAAGAAGAAATGACATTTCTGCAACGTGGTGATCAGTATTCCGGAGTTGATGACGTAAACAAACCTCGCAATATAAATAAAAAGTAACTGAAAATTGATTTAAGCAGCCACGCCTTTGCCCTTTTTCCCCTTCTTTTCAAAGGATCATTCGCGCAAACAGCTCGCAATTTACATTTCGAAGTGAAAACAACGGTTTTCTTCTCAAGGGTGTTCGGATGAATCAAAAACCATAATTTTAAAAGTACTTTTACGGTGGAGGTATTTATCTTGATTTGAGAAAAAATACTTCTTTCATGGTGTCCAAACACCTCCTTACTGTAAAATAACTCTGAGGGTGTCCGTTCAATGCCAAAAGCGCTGTTTCCAGACAAAACGCACACCTGATTTCTGAGATTCAAATGTTTAAATCATTTCACGGCAATCTGAGTTCATATAGATGGATTTTGAGGTCCAGCTCTGTAAGTTGAAGTTTTGAGTAAAACGGCACACCGAAGACATGCAAGTAAAGACATTCTGTCATTGACCCAAAATGAACTAAAATATGAATTCCTCATGAGATGATAGTAAGTCATCAATGGCATTGCAAGAAGAAGTCATAAATCTTTAAGGATACATATTAGAGACACGTGAGTTAACCTTTCACTCTAGATGAGGATTTAATCTCCTTGCTTCTTGTTACCTAACCCTTGAACCTTTAGATAGGCTTATTTAGGGTACAACACTACAACCAAGTTACAAGCAACAACTAAGTTTTGTTAACTATTCAATATTCCACATCCCATTTCGTAATAAGCCTAAATTGAGAGGCTTTGAGATAAAAGAGCCATCGGAAATGCGGGTCTTCTTTTGAAAAACAATGATCCATGGAGACAATCCGCTCATATCTTGGCCTCTTTCTCAAAAACAAAAACCCGACAGTATCACACTAGGACTAATTCAACGTCCTTGAAGGGTGATGGGTGATTCTCTTGGAGTTGGACAAGCACATGACTATCCGTTCCCACTGCAGCTTTTTCATCTCCAGGACACATGCTAACTTCGTCATCACTCATCACCAGGACCCAAGATTTTTGTTCACGATGACTCAGCCTCCTTTCAATGACTCATAGCTCATATTTATAAATTAGAACTAGATTAATATAATAAGGGGGAGGGATATTTGCCCAAATCATGCTACGGAGAGAAAACCAGGGAGCAGACTACTTGGCCAACTGCGCTATTTACATGCCTTCGGGCTGTCGTCCTCTTGATGAAACTCCTATGGGGCTCTCGCCCATGCTTGTAAAAGATAAGCTTGGATCCACTACCCCAAGATTTTTAAAAAGATCTTTATTTTTACTTTTTTTAGCAATTCGTCTCAGTATGGGTTGTTATATTTTCCTTTTGAAAACCAATATAATATTTTACCATAAAAAATCTAATCCCATCCAATGCTTCTGTTCAAGCTGTGTGCCTCCAACCAATCTACACCACCACCTTCTGTATAAACATGACCCATACCTACCTTCCAAGTGCTTTTCATCCCTCTCCAAGCTCCACGAAGTTGATGTTCCGCCTAAGTTAATGTAGAATACGATAAAAATTTATTGCATCTTTATGTATTTGAGAATTTCTCTTTTTTTTGTCCTTTTTAATTAACTTGATAAGAAAAGCACGGCATTGGGTCTGGATTATCCGGATAAGGCAAGGCCCTGAAAAGGCATTAAACCAAGGTAGAAACTGTCATTTTGGGGAAACAACCTAGAGAATTGCCAAATATCCAATGGGAGAATAAAAATCTTATGACAACCATTAGGGAAAATAAACTGCCAATCATGATCTCTATGAAGCGATTAGCAAATACTTTCAAGAAGCAATGTACTTTTATCTGCCGGAAATGTGCTTCTATACTCCCATTCACCAGAGCAAACAAAGTCGCTCACTAATCATTTCTTTTATTCATTGAAGACAGGTTCAAGGATATAAGCGGACTGGGGCCAAGACTAATATTAATTCCATCCAGGATACACACCAAAATGTATGATTAAGTAAATGCATTCCATCAAGGACTAGATTTTTTTTTTGGGGGGGGGGGAGCAGTTTAAATGTAACCAATAGACAAATCACACAACATAAAAAAAAAACAACTCGCTTCGGAGATTGGATGCAAGGGTCGATGGACTTTTCTGTTCAACTTTTGACACCGTTATATACACCTGCTGGTTTGTTCAATATATCGCATAGATAAAGGAGACTGAGAAAAGCAGAATTCTCCATAACAGTGGCTAGAATTCTTTATGAAAGCCACACGTGATAAGCACAGCGCCTGCAAAATTCTGGCAGAAAGCTCAATTACAATGAGAGCAACCAACTAAAATAAGCTTCCCACATTTTCCTCGTGAAAGCAATCTAAGGAATAGATTTCAAATTGCAATACAAAATG